GTGGGAGCGGGAGGCTAGGAGGGGGTCGCGGTGGCTGGGAGCCAGGCGACTCGGCCAGCCAGAGCTGACATGCGGGGCGGGCAGCGACACGGAGGTGAGGGGATGCCCAGTGTTGCTGGCTATATGTGCGATTTCAGCTGCAAGTTTCCCATAGTGTCCTCACAGAAGGGAGGATGTAAGCTAATTATGGATGGGGGATTTAGAGGGAGAGCCAAAGACTTTCAGTAGCTTCACAGTATGCAAAAAAAAAAGTCTCTGTCGGGAGGTAAGTGTGTCCTGCCTTTGGACAAGCGTGACAAATCATAGGGAATATGGAAATTGGACTGATGCCTTTTTCCTAAATATTGTGCTGGTCAAAAATAATGCTGTCTTTCTGTCTCACAAGCAAAAACTATGCCTGTTTCTTTTTTTGACTCTCCTGGCAGGAGCTGGTGACCTGACTGGGGATGCTATGGGCTATGTGACAGGCGTGCTGGCTGTGCTGATACACGCTGCCTACCTGGTGCTCATTCAGAAAACTAGTGTAGAGAGTGAATACGGACCCCTGACAGCTCAGTACGCCATTGCCGTTTCAGCCACCCCTTTCCTCATTATTTGCTCCTTTGCCAGCATGGACTCCATCAACGTCTGGTCGTTTCCGGGCTGGAAGGACCCTGCCATGGTATGCATCTTTATCGCCTGTGTCCTAATTAGCTGTGCCATGAACTTTACCACCCTTCACTGTACTTACATTAACTCAGCTGTGACCACCAGCTTCGTAGGGGTGGTGAAGAGCATAGCAACCATCACAGTGGGCATGGTGGCGTTCAATGATGTGGAGCCCACAAAGTTATTCATAGCTGGTGTTGTGGTCAACACCTTGGGTTCTGTCATCTACTGCGTGGCCAAGTACGTTGAGACCAGGCGGAAGAGTGATTACGAGGACCTGGAGAAAGAAGCTAGAGAAGAGGAGGAAAAAAGGCAGGCTGGGGACCAAGCACTGTTCGCGATGGAGGCGATTTCCAGGGAGAAGGGGGCTGAGGAAGCAGCGGCGGAGGGACCAGCAAGCAGGGACAGTCAGAGCGGAGAGGAAGAGAAGGACGGCACTGTGAAACCTGCTGAGGTACTGAAGACTGCCCGCCGAGGAGCCGCTAGTGCAGAAGAAGTGAACAGGAGCTCACTGAAGGATGCCTATCTTGGAGTATGGAGGTTGGTGAGGGGGGCTAATTATATAAAGAAGGATTATTTGATAGAAAATGAAGAGCTACCGAGTCCTTAACAAGCAGGTTTAAAAACCCCACAAAACCTATTGCTTGAGGACAGACACCTGGCCCTCTGTGCAGGGGAAAGGCAGAGCATACATTTCTCACATCAACGGTGACAGATCCAAATCATTTAGGATAACTTTACCTCATTGTCAAAAAGGTCAGAGTTTGCTCACGCTTTGGGCTTGCATTGAACTGCTTTCAGTACATCAGTGTAGACCCACCACAGCTAAAGGTACCGAGTCCCCTGCTGTGGATACAGAGTTGGGTGGTGACAAGGCACAGGCTGCTGCCCAGGAGCCTGGGCTGTGAGGAATCCCGTTCCTGTTAAGTTAGATGTCAGTGCCAGTGACACGGTGGTGGCTTGCAGCTTAGCTTAGTCTGGAGCCTTGTGGTTTTAACATCACTTGGAGGCTCTGTTGATGTGTTTCTATGTCTGTCTCCGTCCACTTATAGGTATTCTATAAATATATTCCTGTAATATATAAACTCTTACAAGTTGTACTTTTGTGTGCTCCTCTGTATCAATATAATTGCAACAGGGCTAGAGGTTGTGCCACTTTAATTATGTTGGTGTAAAATCACCCTCTTAACCGAAGACTCGACATTTCCACAGATTCTGGGGCCAGGCTGGGCCTGAGACCTGGTCGACGTTCAAGAGGTTTGTGTCTTCAGCAGAATTACTTGTGTCTTACGGTGGTGTACATGAGAGCAGAGACAGATCTGAACTTTTGAGAAGCTTTGCTCAGCAAAACAAGGATGCTTTTCTATGAGCTTTAACTACATGTAGCATTGGGAATAGTAGCTTGATACTGTTGGGAATATTAGCCAAGTAAGAGTTTGGAAGTGCCGGAATGTACTGATTTGGGTTTGGGGGGGGGACTATTAAAAAAACAGGGAGAAAGTGGGTACACAGTGCTATCCCCCTTCTTACACCCTAAAGCCAGGGGATTCAGAGTCTGGATTTGACCCTAAGTCTCCTCTCCATCTCCGACCCTGTAGAAGTATAGGCTAATAACAGGACTGGGGAGGCTGTCTCTGCCTGTGTGTAAACTGTGGTTCCCGGGAGGGCTTTTGCAGGCCATTTTGGCTGGGACATGACAGAGCGCGCATCAGCCCTCGCTCTGCCTGTGCCGTGGTGTCCGGCAGAAGGAAACTGGGGCAGGCAGGCAGGCAGGGAGCCGCTGCGGCCGATCGCA